TTTTTTTTTTTTGCGGTATGCGGGCCTCTCACCGTTGTGGTCTCTCCCGTTGCGGAGCACAGGCTCCGGACGCGCAGGCTCACTGGCCATGGCTCACAGGCCCAGCCTCTCCGCGGCATGTGGGATCTTCCCGGACCGGGGCACGAACCCGTGTCCCCTGCATTGGCAGGCAGACTCTCAACCACTGCGCCACCAGGGAAGCCCGTATGTGTCTTTTGATGCACAGATGTGTTACCGAACCAAACGTGGGTCTGCTCACCTTCATGCAGTAAAGCCAATCTACTGACACCAAGTTGTGCTGAAGGAAAGTGCAGCATTTATTGCCAGACCAAGCAAGGAGTCTAGGTAGCTAATGCTCAGAAGGCCCGAACTCCCTGACGGCTTTCAGGGAAAGGTTTTATTTTATTATTAATTCATTTATTTATTTGGTTGCGCCAGGTTTTAGTTGCAGTTTGCCAGCTCCTTAGTTGCAGCACGTGGACTCCTTAATTGTGGCATGCAGACTCTTAGTTGCAGCATGCATGTGGGATCTAGTTCCCTGACAAGGGATTGAACCTGGGTCCCCTGCATTGGGAGTGCGGAGTCTTAGCCACTGCGCCACCAGGGAAGTCCCTCAGGGAAAGGTTTTAAAGACAGGGTGAGGGAGGGAGGTTTCAGGGTGCGTGGTCAGGTCGTGGACATTTTTCTGATGGGTTGGTGGTGAGGTAAGTGGGAGTCAACATCGTCATCCTTCTGGTTCCAACTGGTCTGGGGTTTAGGTGCTAGTGGGCAGCATGCAGTTAACTTCTTCCACCTGGTGGGGGTTTTAGTATCTGTGAAATGGCTCAAAGGACATAGCTCAGAATATTATCTGTAGCCCTTGAGGAGTAACTGAAGGTCCTTGACTTTGTTTAATGGCTAAACTATTATTATTTTGTCTTGCTTGGCTATTCTCCTTTCTTTCTGTATTTGTCACTTCTCTGATTAAATGTATTCTCAGAAACTCAGGGAAGGCCTTGGAGACTAAAGTTTTTCTATAGACAGAGAGGCAGGCAGAGGACATTGGAAGGGGCAGGGTCTATTCCAGGAAGGCCCCATAGGGTCCTGGTCAGTTACAGACATATGCATTTATATTGGGTAAGTTCCTAGGAGTAGCATTGCTGGGCATGAGGTAGCAGTGTGGTAGTTTTAGTAGGTAATATTGGTTTTCCAAAGTTGTTTTACCAGTTGATGTTCCCACCGGCAGCGAATGGCAATTCCATTTTGCCATATATTTTTATTTTTTAAAAAAACAACCGCTGTATTTGTACTTTGTTTATAGAAGTGGAATGTTAGTGTGGGATCTTAGTTCCCCAACCAGGGGTCAAATCCATACCCCCTGCAGTGGAAGTGTGGAGTCTTAACCACTGGACTGCAAGGGAAGTCCCCATTTTGCCATATTTTTGCCAACACTTGGCATTGTTGGTCTGTTGAATTTTGGCCATTCTGATGGGTATATAGTGGTAGCATATTGTGGATTTATTTTGCTTTTTTTTTTTTGACAACTAGTGAAGCTGTGCATTTCTTTGTATGTTCATTGGCCATCCAGAGCTCCTCTTTTATGAGATGTGTTCATGTCTTTTGCCCATTTTCCGTCAGGTTATCTATCTAGAGCTCTCTAATTGATTTTTAGGAGTTCTTTATTCTGGGTAAGAGTTTATTGTCAGATATAAGCACTGCAGATACTCTCGTATTCCATGGGTTGCCTTTTCACTATTTTAATGTCTTCTGTTGAACAGAAGTTCTTAATTTTTATATAGGTCAATTTATCCATTTTTTTCTTTTACAGTTAGTACTTTTTGTGTCCTGTTTAAGAAACACGTGCCTTCTCCCAAGTCACAAAGCTGTTCTGTATTTTCCTATAAAAGTGTTATTGTGTGATATTTCATAATTAGATCTGCCAACCATCTGGAATGATTTTTGTGCATGGTGTGAGGTAGGAGTCAGGATACACATTTTTCATCTGGCTATCTGATTGACTTAGCACTGTTTATTGAAACAGCATTCTTTTCCCATTGCACTGCCGTGTCTCCTCTGTCACAGGTCAGGTGACTTTCTGTTCTGTCCCATTGCCCAGTTTATTTTTTAAAATTTATTTATTTACTTTTGGCTGTATTGGGTTTTCGTTGCTGTGTGGGCTTTCTCTAGTTACGGTGAGCAGGGGCTACTCTTCTTTGCAGTAAGCGGGCGTCTCATTGTGGTTGCTTCTCTTGTTGCGGAACATGGGCTCTAGGCACACGGGCTTAAGTAGTTGTGGTGCATGGGCTCAGTAGTTGTGGCGCATGGGCTCAATAGTTGTGGCTCGCGGGCTCTAGAGCACAGGCTCAGTAGTTGTGATGCACGGGTTTAGTTGCTCCATGGCATGTGGGATCCTCCTGGACCAGGGATCGAACCTGTGTCCCCTGCATTGGCAGGTGGATTCTTAAACACTGCACCACCAGGGAAGCCCTGCCCAGTTTTTTTTTGCACCAATACCAAATTGCCTTAATTACCATAGC